ATATATAGTCGGACTACCATTTTGTAACTTCTAATAGTCGGGAGACTCAACAAAACAACACCTTATAATCAGGATATCATTTTGTAACTTTTAATAATTGAGAGACTCAACAAAATATCACCTTATAGTCGATGGACTATTTGTGTGCTTTACTTTTTTTTAACCATATGCATCTTTTCATAATTTAACCCATGTTTTATTGTTAGTGATAAATTTATATATTGACAATCTTGGAAGAAGTTAAGAGATTGACAAGAGCTTTGGTTTCTTAAATGGTAAAATTATACATAAGTCTCTCTATAAATTATGGAATTATAAATTATTGCATGGTAAAGATTATATTTTGACCCTTAAAATAATAAGGGTTAGTCTATAAAGTTTTCTATTAAAGTATTTTTCATTTATTTAAATATTCATGAGAGCGAAACACCTAAAATTCAATTTATTTTCATTTATGACGATATTCTCTTGCAAAAATTCAACACCATTTGAGTTGTTTTCATAAAAAAATGACATTTTTATGTGTCAAATGAGAACAATATTCATGCAACAAAATAAAAAAGATAGAATAAAATACAACTATATGAAATAAAATAAAAAACCATACCTTAGTTTGGAGATCGAAATGAGAATGGAGATGGCGGGTCGGGTCAGAATTATGCACTGTTGAGAAGAAAGTGAAATGTACTTAAAAATCAAAATTACCTTGTAGTGTTGAGAAGAAAGTAAAGTATACTCAAAAATCAAAATTAGATAATTTATATATATGATTATATTTGGTTTTGTAATTAAATATATTTAGTTAAATTTTGTAATTTTCAAAAAAAAAATTTGTAATTTTCAACATCTTGACAACAATTTTTTTTCCGGATATGTTTGACTAATTGTTGTTTCCAACATGTTTGACTAATTTATTATTATTATTTTCAATGTATTAATTGATTTGATCTGATAAGTTTAATAGTTCCCGAAGAAAAAGTGGCCCTGATTACTTGGAGTGACAGAAGATTAATTGTTGATACGAACTTTGATAATTTCACCTGAATTAAAGGTTAATTAATTCATGCAAGTAATCGTAAAAGGATTATCCAATCCCAAACTGTCCACATACATTTTAGGATAAGCCATAGCTATCAAACTTGGTGCCATCTACAACATTCACTCTCCATTTTTTTTCCTATTCCATCATATTGAAGTGTTCCAATAAATCAAACCAAACCAGTAAAATCCGTTAATTACATTTATAATATGTACCTTTCATGTGTAGTTGATAAAAGATTATGGGTTTAAGGCTGTCAAAAGTATATGTTTTGTTGAGAAAAATGTCTTTAGATTTTTTTATTTAATCGAGTCTTTAAATCTTAAAATTAATTGATGAGATCTTTTGGTCGACGAAAATTATTGTTGATCGTTAACCTGATAATTCAAGATATTGATGTAGTGGATCACGTGTGAATGATAATATGACAGTGAGACTTAATAAAATTTTTAATAAATTTTGATGACTTGATTTATGTTTATAAAGTTAAGAGTTATTTACCTTTAAGCAACAAAATAAATCTAAATTTTTAAATATTAAAAGAGAAAATTAAATATTAAAAGTTACTAAAACTAAAACACTATTAAATTTTTTAAAAATCTAAATAAGATTTTCTAAAAATAGTGAGAAATTATACAGAGATAAATTTAAATTTATTAAAAATAAATATTTAAAATATTAATAAATTCAAACATTTTTATTAAAAAAATCGAATGTCTCACATCATTATAAGTTTATTCCTTTAACGTAATTTTAATGAAATCAACCTTGTTTTAAAGTAACATTAGAGTTGACCTAAAATAATATTTACGAGCCAAAGATGGTAGATTTAGAGATGGATATTTGACCAAAACATAGGGCAAGGGTTTTTAATCGAGTTTAGATTGGATTAGATTAAGTTCGAGTTTAGGATGCAAAAATACTTAATCCTACCTAATCCAGTTAAAACAATATAATTGACATTTATATATTTAGAAATAAATATATACATTAAGTTCCTATTTTTAGGGGTGAGTATTCGGTAAAGTCAAATAAAAAATTCGAGTCATATTTTAGGATTTAAATTTTATTTGATTTTTTAGTTGATTCGAGTTTCTAAAATTTGAGTCAAGTCAAATTTTTTAGTTTTTATTCAAATTTAATTGTAAATGTTTAAAATGTTATGGTGTAGAGGAGTCCAATTTAATGACTTTCTCTAATTATATAAGATATAAATATATATTTCTCAAATGTCATCTAAAATTATAAAACATATTTATAATTTTATTTAAAAAAGTATTTTTGAGAAAAATATTGATGCAAATATAAGAGAGTCAATGAATGATGTGAAGAAAGAATTTGCAAAAAAAAAAAAAAAAAACACACACACACACACAATAAGAATCAAACTTAATAAAATGTAAAGTTAAGAAATTAAATTGTAAAAAAAACAAAATTGTTGTTAAAAATAAAAATTAAAGTTACATAGATATTTTATAATAATAAACGTTACATAGGAATTATATTGTGCTAGATGAGCATGTGATTCGAATTTAGTCAAAATGAATTTAAAGTAACATATGAATTATGGATCGGATATTTGAGTTAATTGAGTTAAATAATTTTGAGTTAGTCGAGTCGACGAGTCATATTTATCATTAAAATACTATTTTAAAATTTCCCAAATTGAGCCAAGTCGAGTTTTATTCACCCTATTTTTTTACTTAATAAAAATGAAAATTATACTTGAGTGTAGATTTTTACTTTAAAATTTAGATTGAATTTCGGGTTGGACGAAACTTTCTTAAATCTGAATCGAATCAGATAACGAGTGAAGGTATGCTATACTTGGATCGAATTTGAATAAGCTAAAAATTTAATCCGACCTGATCTATAACCATCATTGCATAAACTCTAATATAGGAAAGGTGGTAGATAGAGTTCCTTCATGTAAAATGTCTGCTGTATAAGATGACCCTCTTTTATTTTAATTAATCTCATCATTACAAAATAATCCATCTAATTTAGATCATGCCCATCGATTTGTATACGTTAAGAAAGACTTAGAAAAGGTGGCTGCTAAGAAAATAGGCTGCTAAGATTTTTATTATTATTTTAATTTAGTTTTTTGAACACAGCTATACATGTAAGAATATTTCTAATATTCTTTTAGTTGAAATTTTAATTTAATGATTACCCCTGACCTTACTTAAGGGATCTAGTGCTTCATCCCACTAGATTAACTAATTGTTGGTAATATATATTAATTCATTTTTTATATTATAAAAAATATTTTAAATTTTATTAATTTATTTTATAATATCAAATTTTAATTTGTTGAATCTTTAATCTTGTTCAAAAGATGTAAAATTTCATCTTATTATGTGGTACCTCGGCATCTCTAATTCGTATAACATAAACGTTGACATATAACAAAAAAAACAAATCTGACAGAGTGGCAAAACATTATCTTAGTCAAACTAATAGAAAAAAAGAAGTCAAACGAAAAATAATAGCAAATACTCAGCATAATAGCAGCAAATCTTTATGTATAAATAGTACAGAGATTGTCCACTCCGATTCATCTTCATTCTCTTACAGTCGACAACGAATTAAGAAGATGAAAAGCAAAATGGTTTACGGCTTCTGGGTCTTGTTTTTGCTGGGTTTTCAAGAGTATTGTGAGGGAAGGTTGTTAGCTTCATCCGAACCTGATATTAATAATGTTGCAGGCTATGCTCGTTGGTTGGTGTCCCAGAGCACTTGGGGGGTTTTGAGGTAGTAATCTTTCTTCTACTCTTTTTCATTTTTACAAACAACTTGCTGTTAATTTGTTTTGACACTGTGATTTTAATTATGTCTTCTTTAAACTGTTGATTTCATAATCCAATTCGGATATGAATATAATATTGTACAAATACATGAAAATCATGGGGGAAAATATACTTATATTCCTCATTTTTTTATTTTGCAGTACACTATCAGTGGAATTGGAAGGATCGCCATTTGGGTTAGTTTTCTTAACCTACTTTTTATGTCTTGTAATGACGTGGCCGAACATTTCTATAAATATGATTTTGTACTACACATGTATATGGTGCAGGAATGTTGTTTCATATAGCGATGGTGTGCCAGGCAAAAGAAGTGGCATCCCGTATTTCTACTTGACAACCCTCGATCCAAACTGCAAGAGATGCACTGAAAGACCAACGCTCCTCGCTCACAATTAGCGAGCATCCCCTCGGAACTTGCGGCGACGTAGACCCAGAGAACCCTAATTGTGCAAAAATAACACTCACGGGAAAGGTACACTGCCATAAATACATTTATGTTTTTCTTAAACTGTATTCGATTGTGTTTAGACGGTACTACTTGAGACAAGCTTAGAAGAGTGGGGATTCGCTCAAGCTGCCCTGTTCACAATGCATCCGGAGATGAAATGTATTTATTGACCCCAAACACAAATCACTGTCATTCACTTGGTTTTCTCTACTGTAATGACAATGGTTGATCAACAGGGTGGCCTACGAGTCATGGCTTTCGGATCTTCAAACTCGAGATCGAAAACATATTCATTATTAACGGACCTGGTGGCCCTAAACCTCTCACAGTTGACGAATACCTCAAATACAAAGTGAGTATCAAAGTAGGTATACTTTGATTACAATTTGTATCCCAATAAGTTCCCACATGTGTACACTTTGTACTGAAAAACCATCTGCCATAACCAATAAGCCCTGTGGCATTTTTATCGTTTGGAAATTCTCTTGTACGTTGTTATATTTGTTTGTGAATGTAAACTATCTAATAAATAAATCCAACGAAACCGTGCTTGTTGTTTACGGTTCAACGTGCTATTGTATTTTAAAACAATCTGAGGCAATAATTACAGATATAATTTTATATCGTGACCTAAATTTCCCCTTGGGGTGCATGAGAAAAAATGTTACTGCCAGCCCAAAAACTTCAAGATGGCGCAGTTTTCTCAAAGCCAATAACAAATTAACATGGTAAATTAAATCCAACTGCAACCAGGTACTTTCCTCAGACCCTGCTCCTTCATTTTATTCCTCACATGAGCAACATTCACCCATTGCTTTGCGTCGGCATAAATGTTGGATAACAACACATAATTAGCAGCATTTAGAGGTTCAAGGTCATTCAACTTAGCAGCAGCCAACTCCCCTAACTCGACATCACAATGCAACTTACAGGCCCCAAGAAGTGCACCCCAAGCACCAGCATGAGGCTCCACAGGCATAGATTTTAAAAGATCATAGGCTGCTTTTACCCGTCCTGTCCGACTTAAGAGATCAACCATGCAAGCATAATGATCTGGTGTAGGAACAATAGAGTAATCGATTTTCATGATTTTAAAATAATGCCAACCTTCCTCAACAAGCCCAGCACTACTACAAGCATTCAGAATTATAGTGAAGGCTACTTCATCTGGAACCAGTCCTTCGTTAATCATCCTATTGAAAAGCTGAATAGCTTGAGCCTGTTGCCCATGGATAGCCAATCCTTGTATCATAGAGCAATATGAAACTAGATCCCGTTCTGGCATCTCCTCAAACAACTTAGCTGCTCTTTCCATTTTCCCACACTTCGCATTCATATCAATAAGAGCTGCTAAAACATGTTTTTGGCTAACATCAATATCACTTCGGCTTAAATAACTATCAATCCACTTAGCCAACTCCAAATTACCCACCTGAGAACAAGCCGATATCAAGCTAACCAGAATAAATTTATCCGGTTTAACATCCATTTCCCACATACTAATAAACATCCTGACAGCTTCATTAGGTTGACCATTTTGTTCATATCCTGAAATCATTGCCGACCACGCAACGATATCTCTCTCCGGAGCCTGCTCAAACAAATGCATTGCCGACGCCATATCCCCGGCCTTTGCATAACCATCAATCATCGTAGTATAAGAAATCACATTTCTTTCAGGCATATCCTCAAACATTTTCCTAGCATTCCCCAAATCCCCTGTTTTGACCAACAAATGCACCAAAGCATTCCACGAAGTCACATTACTCTGCGGCATCAAATCAAACAGTTTCTTTGCTTCCGCAAAATCACCAACCTTGACATAGCCAACGACCAAAGCCGTCCACGACACAACATTTCGCTCCGGCATTTCATCAAACACTTTCTTCGCATTCAATATTTCCTTAACTTTCGAATAAAAGTCAACCAAACTCGTCCCGACAAAAACATCTTTTTTGCATCCACCTTTTAAAGCTAATCCGTGTACCATTTTCCCCTCCCATGACTTAACCTCACTTGAACAAGCTTTAATCACCAAAGGATAAGTGTACTTATCAGGAAGCCCACCTTCACTCTTCATGCGTATAAAAACCGAGAACATTTGGAGAAAAGAGGATTTTTTGGAGTACCCATTAAGGAGAGAGTTCCAAAGGAAAGTGCCCGGCAGGACAAAGATATCGAAAATGGAAGTGGAGTAGGAGAGGGAAGCGGAAAGGGAAATAATATGGCTGATGAGAAACTGATCGCGGTGCAGGCCTTGTTTAATTATGTGGACATGGATTTGGTAGAGCTGGTTTTGGGATTTGCATGAGCTGAGAAGGGCTGAGAGAGAAGAGAGAATGCTGGGGAACTTATGGAGGGAAATTGACATGTGATGAGACAGGGTTTGCTGGCCGGTAAACTCCGAGTATCGGGCAAACTCCGGCAGGTCAAAAGCTTAAGCAAGTATCCGATGTCATATCCACTACGAAATGTGATCCAATGCACACCATCATTCAGTACAATCCCGGACGACATCAAAAGCTCACCGAACCGCCTCAAAAGTCGCATCAAAAAGGCAATCCAATGCACACGATAGTTTCAACCAGGATTAATTTAAAGGGTAAACAATTTGATATTTTTAAGTAATTTTGAATTGAGTTTTGTATATACATACAAATTTTATTAAAATATTAAAATTAAGTGTACCATTCAAATCGATCCGAATTATTTAAGTTATAACTAACCCACGTAATATGTAATTATTATGAAATATTATATTATTTTTTTTATAAATCTAAGATTATTATATGTATGACCTATTTTAACGAAACACTAGTCCCTTGTGTGGTGAACAAGAATCTATTCTCCATGTCCCTCAGGATTGTAACGAAACGAAACACATGATCCCGTAACCTCTAGAGTGTGTAGATACTTTCTTTGACTTAGATCTACGTAAATAGATTCTTGGAAATGTTAGTTTGAACACTTATCATAATCACTGGAGATGATCTTGGTTTCATTTATCAACCTCTTTGATCTGGCAATTGTGGAAGCGCAGAAACGATTTTGTTTTCACGCAAAATTGCAAAACAATAGATGCCTCTTTTACGATTTCTCTAGCCTGAGCGAGGCATTTAAATGATAGTCCACCTTCGTTATTTATGGCTCCTTGTCGAACTGTGCAAGCCATTCAATGGGAACAACCACCTTTGGGTTGGACTTGTATCAACACTGAGGGGGCAACTTCGACAACGATACAATACAGTCTTGTTGGAGGGGTTATTCGTGACTGCAATGGATCCTGGATCCTTGGTTTCACCCGTTTTACAGATTGTTGTACGCCTCTATTGACTGAACTATGGGGTATATATACTGGTCTAAGTATTGCTTGGGATCTTGCCTTGATAAAATCATTCTCCAAACCGATTGTAAGGAGGCTGTCAAACTTGTTGAAACTCCTGATAATGCTGCTAGCCTTTGCCCATTGCTCCGTGCTATCCATTCTCTACATTGTCATAACTGGGAAACGAAGGTCATTTGGATTCCTAGAGAAGCAAACATGGTTGCAGATGCGCTCGCTAAACTCGAAGACTCGTTTCAGCCTGGTATCGTCTTTCTCGATACAGCTCCTTTGCCTATTCATAATTTTCTTGCAAGGGACATATTAGGTCCATCGTATTTACAAGCATAATGTAGTTTGCTCCTCTTTCAATTATAAAAAAATCTCAATTATTTGATGGTGAAAATTCAAATATATTTATAGTATGTGATGCTTAAATTTAAAACCTTTAAAGATAATTATTTTTAACCATTAAAGTAATTTGATTTGTACAAAATATTATGTTAATTTGAATAATGTGTGATAAACCAAAAGTATGTAATAAACTCTGAACGTATTATATGTTTTATACTAAAATATTTTATATTTATTTAATATTTATATTTATATAAATGATTAATGACGTTAAAATGATAAAAGTAAATTTTTATAAATCTAATATTAATATTATCAATTAATAGATGAAATCAGAAGAGACCAAATAGAATTATCATGAAAATCCCCAATTTCTACAACCTTCGATTTGCTTCCCGCACTTGCAATATTCTCGGTCCGCAGCCACCACCTGTTTCTTAAACCCCTGGAAAACAAAACCAATACAAAGAGACCCAAGTAAAATTTAAAAAATCTCCGTTTCATATCCTTGCAATGGCTTCAAGAAGGCTATCAAGGTGTGCTATCTCAGCCGTTAAAGCATCCAAAGCATCAACTCCCTACCTCGTTCGCGCTCGCGCCATCTCCGCCTCTGCTTATACTTTGCGTAATTCCCTCACTTTGTCTCATTGGCCTACAAATATCAATGAAGTCGCAGGGAGAAATGGCGGCTCCTTCTCTCTCACTCGCAGCTTCCACTCTTCCCTTCTACGCAACTCTTCTGCCACTACCCCTGCGCAGGTTTTGTATACTGTTATTGAACATTTTCATTTATAATTGTGAATATTAATGTCTTTTTTCCGGTTTTATTTACTTTGAGAGATACTCCAGTAATTGATGTATTGTGTTTGTGTTTTCAGTTTTAGAAAACTTTAGCTAAGTAAGGCATTTGGATTCAGTTTGTGTGTATAATTGTTTGCTCTATAATTAAGAAACCATGCTTCCAATTAAGCAAAAAGGAGACCGCACTTCAATCCAGTTTAGCCTAGAACTAGAACTAGTTATCAAATATTGCTAATCCATAGCATTAGGTTCGCCTTCGTGATTTGGCTTTATTGGTTATTTGTGTGTTGACTGTTACGATTCTGAAATTAATGAATTCGATCCAATTACATTGTAATGGTTCTACCATTGTTTTGCTCATGTTAACTTCTTGGATTTTGAACGATCAGATCAACCAATCAGAGTACACTGATATGGCGTGGGAGGGTCTTGTTGGGGCCGTTCAAGTGGCAAGGGATAGCAGACAGCAAATGGTGGAATCTGAACACTTACTGAAAGCTCTTTTAGAACAAAAGGATGGGTTGGCTAGAAGGATTTTCACAAAAGCAGGGCTTGATAACACATCTGTCCTGCAGGCTACCGATGACTTTATATCAAAGCAGCCTAAAGTATCATTTTAATTGGTTATGATTTGTTCATGAGTTTGTTTCGATGCTTTATTTGTTGTATTTGATTTATGTGATATAGGGGGTTTATTTTCCTCTGGCAGGTGATGGACACAAGTAATCCTGTAATGGGATCACATCTTAGCTCCCTTTTAGACAATTCTCGGAAGCATAAGAAAGAAATGGGAGATGATTTTCTTTCGGTGGAACATTTTGTCCTGGCGTTTATGTCGGATAAGAGATTCGGGCAGCAGTTATTCAAGAACCTCCAGCTTAGTGAGCAGGCTCTGAAGGATGCGGTTAAAGCTGTTCGTGGGAATCAGCGTGTAACTGATCAAAGTATGATTTTACCTTGAACCTGCCTTATCTTTTGTTTTGGATTACGGTAGCATTTTGTAGCGAAAATAAGTTGCAACTAAGAAATTGATGGTGTAGGATGGATAATTACAAAGTAGTGCTCGCATATATAATTGAATCAAATGTTATGATTGGTTGACTTAAAAACTTATGGTTGAAGGAATGAAAAATTATACACTGCTAGCAATAAGTTAGTCAAGACTTGTGTGAGTTAATCGAATATACATGCTCAATTGGGAAAGTAGTCAAACGTATTTGTTATTCCAACTTGAGTTTATCTTTATTCACTTATCATATGATGTCCTTGGATCTTGAATGTCCCTTTCTTAATGTGTGTAGATCCTGAAGGAAAATACGAGGCACTCGACAAATACGGGAATGACTTGACTGAGCTTGCTAAGCGTGGAAAACTGGATCCTGTTATTGGACGTGATGATGAAATAAGGCGTTGTATCCAGATACTATCGAGGCGGACAAAAAATAACCCTGTTATAATTGGTGAGCCTGGTGTGGGCAAAACAGCAATTGCTGAAGGGTATGCTTATCAAATGTTTTGGGTTCTTTTTTTAATTCAGATAAGTATAAAACTTTGTACTTGTGCTTATCAAATGAATGATCTCATTGGATTTTAAAGTAGCTACTTCAAGTTAAGCATAATCCCTCTTCCACACAAAATTTGGATATCCAGCTATCGGATATTTATTTTTTGGAATTCTTCTTTTCAATTTTGCTCAGCACGGCCTAATATAATATTAACAGTGAAGGTGCAGGAAAAAAGTAGCTTAGTCCCTATTTGGAACAGAACTGTACTACTTTCCTGTACATTCTAATGAGGCATTTACTGAGCTGGATTTTTATGGCAGTGCTAATGAGCATAGATTTCTAAGTTTCCTTTCAGTCACGTATTTATTGCTCGTTTATATGGGTGTCCATGAATACTTCGTACATGCTCGTTTTGATAATGAAAAGTTGTTAATTATATTGTAGATTGGCTCAAAGGATTGTGCGGGGTGATGTTCCAGAACCGCTGTTGAACCGAAAGGTATGAATTTAACCAAAGAAGTAATCCATTTCAAATAGACAGATTTTTTTAATATTTGTAGACAATTTAAAAGAAAACTTTGCATGTTAAAGAAATAATTGTAGAAAGAAGCTTAAAGGGCAGTTATTGGAGTTTACAGGGTCTAGCTTTCTATCAATTAATCATTAGCTATCTAGTTGGGACTGGTTCAATATTAATGTTCATCTAAAATTGGTATACTCTCCTTGTTTTCTTCAGTTGATCTCTCTAGATATGGGTTCCTTGTTGGCTGGTGCCAAGTATCGTGGAGATTTTGAGGAAAGGTTGAAAGCTGTGCTGAAGGAAGTCACTGCTTCAAATGGCCAGATTATTTTGTTCATTGACGAGATTCACACAGTTGTTGGTGCAGGTTTGTTGTTGAATAATTTATTATGTTTTCCTTTCAGAATTCATGTGTGCTACATGGAATAAGTATGTAACTAATACAATGCAGATAAATGTACTGGTAAAACTTAGGACAATAGTTCTTGACAGGTTTTTGTATTGATTTGAAAGTTATGGTTTATGATGCATAATTATGTGCTGAAGTTAGTTCTGTCTAATTTGTTTAGGGGCTACTGGTGGTGCGATGGATGCTGGAAATTTGTTAAAGCCAATGCTGGGGAGAGGTGAGCTCCGATGCATAGGAGCTACTACATTAAATGAGTACAGGAAATACATTGAGAAGGATCCTGCTCTTGAGCGCAGATTTCAACAAGTCTATTGTGGTCAGCCATCTGTTGAAGATACGGTATCTATACTTCGAGGTTTGCGTGAACGGTATGAGCTGCATCATGGCGTTAAAATATCGGACAGCGCTCTTGTTTCAGCTGCAGTTCTTGCAGACCGATATATAACAGAACGTTTTCTGCCCGACAAAGGTAAAATAACGAGTGGAATGAGAAATTATTAACTGCT